GCATTAAAATATCAGAGTTCAGGCTGGGAAGATTGCTCAGTAGTTAATAGTGGGCTGCTCTTCCAGGAGGCCTGAGCTTAAATCCTAGCACCCATATGGCACATCGCAACCATCAGTGACTCTAGTCTCAGGGAAACTGACACCTCTTCTAAACTCTGCAATGCACAAGATACACAGATATATGTACAGACAAAACATTCATACCTATAAAATAAAAGAACATGAATTTAAAAAATAAAAATATGAGAATTTAAAAGTCTTTACCCATAAGACATCTTTGTCCCCACAATTATATTCAGGTATTTTTTAAATATTTTATTTACAAATACTTTTTACATGTGGTAATGAATATGGCAAAAGCAATAATAAAGTATTGTTTCAGAAATAAACTCAGTGGGGAAATTCACAGATGTGAGATTAGATTTTCGTCTGTAATCTCCATAAAAAGCTATTGAGCAAACTTAAGGTATTGGGAAAACTAATATATCTTTCAAAATGATTGCTTCATTTCTTATTTATAGTCGCTGCATTGACTACTGAGGCATTCACTAAACTATGCCACACTGAATCCCTTCAGAAGAGAAGAAAAAAGCCAAATAACTAGGAAGTTAACCTGCTGATAAGAAAGATGTCACAAAACAAACCTGTAATATGGCTAGAGAGATAAAGGCCAAGGAGCAGAAGATATCACTGTGACCATTACCAAAAACACAACTCCCAAAGTCAGAGACAGGCACACCAGGCTGGGAATTCGCACAGCCACTCTGCTCCTAAATTGATTTGGATTTGGCACCCAACCCTGATCGAGTCAGTGTGATTTCTCCTTTGTATACTGTTGTAGATGGATAGCCACAAACTACAACATTAAAAATTAAAAAAAAAACTACTAAAGAATAATCTATAAGTGAAAATAGTGTGGTAAAAAGAACCGTGAAACTGCTGCTTGAAGTCTTGGTAAACCATTTCCTACAATTGTTCTATGTTCAAATTGGTCACTTGTGACAAACAGCAGTACTTCTGCACATGCTCTGTTCATTCTGAAAAGCTGCTTAACGTTTGGAGATTGTGATTAGCCAAAACAGTCTCTGACTCAAGGCAAAATTACCTTCTGTTAGCCTTGACATCAAAACTTGTGGAGGAAGGAGACTTCGTGTTCTGGAGTTGTCAGAGGAAGAAACAAATCACTTAAATCTCCAACTAGTTACCACCTCAAATCTGTTCTAATAAATCATGCTCTTTTGTGAATATTAGTTAATTGCAAGGCATTTCTGATTCACTGCCTATAGTCTTCATGGCAACCAAGCAAGCAGGCTCTGTTATTACTCTGCCTTTGATAGAAACCAAGGCTTCAACTAGTTACAGGGGCTGCAAATATAATAACTAATAAAGACTGGAGTTAATGTATGAAACTAAGTGTTACTAGTTCTAAAATCCATGCTCAATCTACTATTACGGTTTTCTATCTTCAGCTTATGATGCATTTTAACAGAATGCAAAATGTATGTGGATCCATAGTAAGTGAAGTGGATGAAAGAAAGGAGACTCTAGTTGAACTATATGGAGAAAGCTTGCAATCGTACGACTTAGATCCTTTCTTTATTCCACGACTTAGACTTTTTTCTTTATTCCCTAGCCTCCGTAGAGCAGCCAATAGCTTCTGTGGGAAGCTAGGTCTCTGTGGAAACTCTGTGCTGAAGCCACGGTCATTTCCCCACATATATAGACATATCCTGATACATGTTTTGGGTCATATTCTCCAATGCTTGCTTCATCTCACTGTTTCTTTTAAAGAAAAGGGGGTTTCTTTTCTACCCCAGGCATAAACTTTAACATCATGAGTCTCTTTAATTTATGCTATCATTTCCTCCATTAAATTTTAAGTTCTGTTCCCAAGTTCAAAACCCAAAGTGCTAAAAAATAAGATTAATCAAAATTGATGGAAACTGATCATGGCCAAAAAATGGAGGGAGGTCTTATTAAGAAGCAAACGTGATTTTACATCTACACAGTCAACATCAGTTGTATTTTGTATAGTTTATACCGATCCACCGCATATGCCTTCATTTAACTTATATTTATTTCATATTGTATACGTTTACAAATATAAAAAACGAAACAGAACGACCTATGTTTCTCTATGACTCAACTGTGAAAATTTAAAAGAACAATCTGTAGGCTCAGGAATTCTCTTGGCAATGCTGGTCAGGGCGGAATGGTGTTATTTTAAATTCTTCTCTCATTAGCAGAGGCGCTTGCTTCTTCAGAGTTCCTGTGCCTTTGTGTCAGAATTGTTCTGGCATTTTTTACCGTGGTGTTTAAAAATCGCGATGCCGTTCCACTGCCGTTTCTGACACACTCATTAATTTGTTCCCAGCGGCAGTTCATTACCAACATCACAAGCAAAGCGTGCTCTCTCGTTGGGCACAGAGGGCCCACCGGAAATGAAGCAGACAGGGCAGCCATGCACCCCAGAGCAACCAGCCAGTCTTGTCTCCTGCAGCAAGTGACTGGAATGAAAGGATCCTGCCTCCTGTTGCCTGGCACCTTCTGAGGCTTCTGCTGCAATGAGCAGCAGTTCTTTGATAGGGTTGGGATCTCGCCGTGACTGTGATGTTCTGTCACTGGTCGGTTGTGACTGTGATGTTCTGTCACTGGTCGGTCGTGTTACTTTGGATGGGGTTAAGAAATAGCTCCAGACTTTTAGTACAAAGAAGGCTTAACTCTGTCCCTTGTCATCTAATGTGTTCTGCTTCCTGGGTACACAGCTCCTTCCTGGGTCTGCAGGGAGATTGCATCCTCTACTGATATCTTATCTGGGAGAGTGATAAGAAAACCACCTAACACCTCAAGAATAACACCTCAATCAGAGCCTTGTCAAACTTGGTTTTGACAAGGTGATGTTTTTAGTTTTAGTAATTAGAGGGTGAGAAAGCAAGAGATCAAGAGGGGCTGTATGCTGTATGTGGACACATGTACCAACAAGGCATATGGACGTCAGAGAACAATATTGAGGAAATGGTCCTTTCGATTTCTACGTTTTATGAGTTCTAGGGATTGAACCCAGGTCTCTAGACTTGCACAACATGTACCATGACCCACTGTACCATCTTGCCGACCTTAGGAAAGCCTTAGTTTTAAAGAAACTCTGTTCTAGATTGGGGAATAAAGGTTTTTTTTTTCCTGTTACCTTTGTGTGGTTGTCAGTAGTCTTATTAGTTCCTGGCCCACAATAGAGCAACACCACCCTAACCATGAGCCAGTCCTCTGAACTATGGGCATCTCAGGATACCCTCCTAAACTTCAGTGTCCATCACCATTTCATTTGGCTGTTCCCTTCTGTTTCACGTGCTGGGTTAGTGAAATGTGGATGAAATAGGCTGTGCAAAATGGAGATTGTATGTTGAGGGACAGAACTTAGAGGGCTGGGTTCAAACCATTGCTCTCTCCCAGCATAGAAAGCACACCAGTACTTCACCCTGGTTAATATCACAAGCAAAATATGATTAAGAATATTTAGAATTAGAAGTGGGGTTGCTTCTAAGCATTAAGTACCCTTTAAAAATAATATAGGCAGGTTCGTAGAAAGGAGGCCGAGATGAATTACCCTCAGATGATCTTCATTTCAGAGTTACAGCATGGAAGCTACAAGCAGTGAAGATGGAACCCCGACAAAAGACAGAGTGACCTCTCATATCCAAAAAAATAAATAAGGGTGTTCCTCTTACAGTTTTCAATGGTAGGAATAGAGGGTTACATTCTATATCATGCTACCATGTCTGTGTGCCAGAAGTCAAGTAAACATTGGTCAAAGCCTAGTAAAACTCAAGGTCATTCTGAGTCAGAGCAGTTGGGAAGGGGGGCTTGTTTACAGGAGTGAGGGGGACAACTCAACTTTCTTATTCACCCAGCCCTGGAGAAAAGACTGCAAGGGAGTGTCTGGCATTGCTGGGAAAAGGAGTAGATAAAGGATCTGTGAGTGGAGATGGCTAAACAACATCAACTTGGAGCAAGACACCTCTAGCAGCCAGTCTTCTTAGCTCACTCTGAAGCCTGGTGTGAAAATTCCAAACACTTCCTGATTAAGGACTTCAGAAGACAGAAGTAGACTGGAGAGATACATAACTATTCTTTTTTATTTTTTTTTCTTTTTTTATTTATTTATTTTTTTAATTTATTTATTTATTAAGGATTTCTGCCTCGTCCCCACAACCGCTTCCCATTTCCCTCCCCCTCCCCCGATCAAGTCCCCCCCCCTCATCTGCTCGAAGAGCAATCAGGGTTCCCTGACCTGTGGGAAGCCCAAGGACTGCCCACCTCTATCCAGGTCTCGTAAGGTGAGCATTCAAACTGCCTAGGCTCCCACAAAGCCAGTACGTGCAGTAGGATCAAAAACCCACTGCAATTGTTCTTGAATTCTCAGTATTCCTCATTGTCTGCTATGTTCAGCTAGTCCGGATTTATCCCATGCTTTTTCAGACCTAGAGGGGTGCACCCACACACTAAGACAATGGGGATGTTCTATTGGGATCTCACCAAGGCCAGCTGGCCTAAGTCTGAAAGAACTATTCTTTTTTAAAAAGGTACATTAAGTTCTGCATTTAATTTAACAGTTTAATCTAAAATCATCAGTATTATATGGCATTAATTTTCTCATTTAATTTTAATTGAAAGTTTAGAGTTTTTCTTTGTCACAGTGTTTTCATTCCTAAAGCCAAGAGATGTGATTGACTTATTACTATATTAAAAATTCTACATTTGTTTGAGACATATCAGGTAACCTGTGATATGGCAAAAGTATATAAACACGAGACTGTTATTTACTGATGTTCATTGTTACCATTTCGTGTGTGTGACTGCAATCTTTTTAACTGATTTTTATTGAGCTCTACATTTTTCTCTGTTCCCCACCCTGCCTCTTCCCTCCCCCCTTCAACCCTCCCCCAAGGTCCCCATGCTTCCAATTTACTCAGGAGATCTTGTCTTTTTCTACTATTCTTTAGAGGCTCTGCCAAGGAGAAGGGCCACTCTTCTATCATCGGCATTTGAACCATCAGCAATTTTGAGCATCTCCATCTTCAGAACATCACAAATGGACCACTGCTTGCTGCCTCCACAGCTGCCATTCTCTTACCTGTTCTTGAAGCTCTGAAAATAACCTATTAAACATTGGATTCCTGCTTTCACTCTTTCTTCCCCTCTACTGCAACATCATGACAGGTATGTCTTTAAACGTGTAAGGTCTTGTTCCAGATTTTTTTCATTCTTTGATAAAACACTGCAGCCAACAGTAGCATGGGAGGAAAGAGTTTGTTTGTCTTACACTTCCAGGTCAAAATCCACCATTGAATGAAGTCAGGGAAGGAACATAAGGCAGGAACCTTGAGGCAGGAACAATGGAAGACTGTTGTTTCTGACTTGTTCATGTTTAGCTAGATTTCTTACAAAACACAGAATTGCCTTCCTAGGGATGGCACTGCCTACAGTAGGCTGGGGGCTTCTGCATCAATTAAGACAATCAAGACAATCTCTCATAGACGTGTTCACAGACCAGTCTGATAAAGATGGTTACTCAATCAAAACTTTTCAGGTGACTCTAGACTTTGTCAAATTGCTAGTTAATGCTAAGGAAGACAGTCCCATTTTTGTCATGTTCAAAAATTTGCATTGTTTTAAGAACAGAAAAATACAAAATTGCATAGTTATCAGAGGATTTCCAATGATCTATGGCCTCGGTGATGTAGGGTCCAGGTATTCCTTCTCTTTGGATGTGTCCATGAACTGTACTTCTCATGCTATACTGGAATATGTGCACCAGTAAGTTCCTGGCTTGGCATGAGGCACTAACTCTGTCACTGTCTGAAGCTCTCATTCCTGGAAAGCTCCATGAATTTATATCCTCCTTTCCATAGTGATGTGGGATTACCCTCTGTATGCTGTGAATATCATTGTTTAATAAAGAAACTGTCTTGGGCCTGCACAGGGCAGAATAGAGGTAGGCAGAGAAAACTAAACTGAATGCTGGAAGAAGGAAGGCAAAGTCAGAGAGAAGCCATATGACACCTCTGGAGACAGACGCAGGACAGAACCCTGCCAGTAATTCATAGCAATGTGGCAATACACAGATTAATAGAAATGGGTTAAATTAAGGTGTAAGAGCTAGCCAATAAGAAGCTAGAGCTAACAGGCCAAGGAGTGATTTAGTTAATACAGTTTCTGTATGGTTGTTTCGGGATTGAGCAGCCAGGAACAAACAAGTGGCCCCCTACAACACCATAGGGTCTAGCAGAAATATCATTTGTCTATATTGTCCTTCTATGACCTGCCTATTTTATCACCTTATTTATAGTGTATGTGTGCATACATACACACCCAAGTGTACATATTCCCCATTTCCTATTCGCTTTATTTTTCTTTGTAGATTCATCATTTCCTTCTGTATATCCTTTTGCTTATTTCTCCATTGTCTATTTTACATGTCTCATCTTGGTTAGAATATAGAAAGTTTATATTCTAACTTCCAACGAATTCTTTGGCTCCTCTGACTCACTATTTTATTCCTAAAATAACACAGGAGTCCTTTGAGGTGTTCAATAATTACTTGTAAAAATGGCAGCATGAATGAGTTGATTCAGGTACTGTAATGATTGTTTTGCCCATCAAAGCACACCCTCAGAAAGTCTCAGAAATAACTGACTTCCATGACTTAGAAGAGCATCGTTACATCAGCTTTAAGATGCTAATATGCAGCCACGCTAAACATGATGTATAAGGGCTACTGTAGGTAAGGCGGCCTGAAGCTATAAGGCTATCCTTGAGAGGAATATCCACTTCCTTGAAATTCATCAAGAATCAAATAAACTGATAGAATAAAACAGCAGCTGACTTCTTCTCTTCGATGGTATTGATGTGCTTTCCCTATTCTGTCCTTCTTGTTTCCTCAATATTTTCCTTTTAAGAATTGGCTTATTTGTTTGTTTGTTTGTTTGTTTGTTTTAAGACAGGGTTTCTCTTTGTAATACTGGCTGTCCTGGAACTCACTTTGGAGACTAGGTTGGCCTGGAACTCACAGAGATCTGCCTGTCTCTACCTCCTGAGTGCTGGGATTAAAGGAGTGTGCCACCATAGCCCGGCTTAAGATCTATTTAATTTTTTGTGTATGGGTGTTTTGCCTGCCTATATTTTAGTGCACTGTGTGCATGCAGTATCTTTGAAGGCCAGAGAGGGTGTTGGATCCCCTATGGAATTACAGATGATTGTCAGCTGCCATGAGTTTGCTTGGAATCACGCGGGGCTTCTCTGAAAGAGCAGGCAGCCAGTGCTCTTACCTACTGAGTCACAAACCTATCCTTGATGATTTCTGGGAAAAACACTTCACGCTGCACAGAATGTGAACCCAATAGTTGAGTTCTCCACGCTGGGAGGAAGAGGAAGTGAGCTCAGACTCCACAGCTAGATTATAGTTCTCTTACTATGGATGTGAGGAAGATACAAAGCTTCAGGGAAACCTGTTTATGAAACTAAGAAATGCCAGGCAAAAGCAATAGGGTCAAGAAAAACTACTTACGCAAGGGAAACAAATAAATGAACATCCATCCCTAATGCGTTTTCTTTAAACATCACCTAATATTCAGTAGTGAGTATGAGCCATAATGTATTCAAGCCTTACCTTGTTGATACAGTTCCCAGCTTAATTTCCATTTTCCTTCTCAGAAAACTGAAATAAACACACTCTTGCATATATCAGATCACACCTTTTTGTGCTTTTATTTCTCTAGGCAATAATTCCCCAGGGTAGGACTGCTTGCAGTAAGGTATCAACATTTATAATTTTAAACAATATTTCTAAGTAACTTACTCAGATGTAATAGTAACTTCCTCTCCTAGCGGGAACATCTGACAGTGGCCAACCACTATTCCCCCCACCCCCCTCAAACATATACCATAATATGATGCAAAAAAATACTAGTTGTACCATACTGGGTTGGAAATCTGATAACTCAAAACACAGTCTTTATTTTTGTGTGCATTTTCCTGTTTATGGATAGGAATTCTTTCAAAAACCATTGGCTTTTTTCTCTTCTTATTTGAATTACCTTTTCATGCTTATTGAAACCATTTACTTTTTTTTTCTTAAATCACCTGAAGAATAGGAGCAGTAGTCATATTCAATGGCCTTACTATTATAATGAACAATCTCTCTAGTGTGAATGTCCCCTCTTATTTGCTAATACCTGGAATGCTTACTCTACTGTGTTTATACTATGTTTTATGCAGTCAAATTCTTCCATTTTCTGATATTTCTGTCTAGCTGAAGAATGCCCTATTATGTCTGGTTGTGAAAATATCCCTTTATATTTGTTACAAAAAAATGCTATTTTTATTTAGTTTTCAGCCCATCCAGAACCAACATTTATGTATAGAATAAGGTAAGGTTCCTGTGGTTTCTTCTATATCAGTAGTAATGGTTTCATCAAACATAATCAATAAACCCTCCTGAATTAAAATGCAATCTCCGTATGATAAATTATCACACACACACTGGTAGTAATTTCTGTTTTCTCAGCGCTCTGAAGTATCTGCAGTGCACACCATTAACATTCCATAGATCATACATACTTTACAAACAGAAGAACTTGACCATACCACCATCCATATGTTTTATCCAATTACCAGGGAGAAAGTTCTCATATTTGGTTAAATGACAATCGAAGCTCAGCAATCACATACTCTGAAGATGCTCTCTATGAACAATACCCTTTACTGAATACTTATTTTACTCTCCATTAAGTAATCTTAACAGATTAACATTATCTCTATCTCAGTTCTCTAAATAAATGTCTAAATATTTGAGAGTTCGATTACCCAAGATCACAAAAATAGTACGTGATGGGGCTGAGATTTTTAGCTTTCACTGTGATTATAACATTGGAGATCTCCTGATGATTCTTTTAGCTATGCGCCTTGAACTCTACTTATCACAACACAGAAAGCAAGCAGTGATTGCTTGTTTGATTGAATTGGATTTCAAACATAAAACTTTTTTATACCACACAGCCTTATAACATTAGAAAATAATGACTTGAAATGTGTTTTCTACTTCACAACTTGGAGTAATTTCAAAATGGCAATTTCAGTGGCTGCAAAAGAGCAGCTCTGATGAGTTCTGCTCCAGAATCTTCTTCTCACCAGGAAATGATTGAAGACAAGGAGATAACCTCTCGTTAATTCCTTATTAACCATCTTAATCAGGATTACATCACTGTCTCTCTCTGAGCGTGGACAATTGTCAGCAGGCTTTGAAGCTTGGATTCATTAGCCCACAGTGTAGGGAGGTCTAGACAGCAGGGTCATTTCCTATCCCCTAGGGGAGTCACATTTGATGAAGATGTGCCTCTCTCATCTCTAATAGAGGCCTTGTATTTTATTGCCACACATCCCTCAGAATTTAGCACAAATACCTGATTTCTCAAATGCTTTGCCTGAAAGTTCTGAGAAAGGGGCAGAACACATAGACTGATCAGAAGTCAGCCAGTTCCTACAAATGGATAAATGTATTCCTAAGTACACAATGTGGTTTCTTACCTCAACAGGCTCAGAGAGGAGTCCACCTCTTCTGCTCCTCCAAGGAAGCAACTCTCCCCAACATTGAAAACTTCCAGGAATTTGCTGTGTCAAGGGTTGGAAGGTAAGAGGAGTTCTATCCTACTCAGGCCAAAATCCCTAAGCCCATTGGCTTCTGATTTCTCTGTGATGAATACTGCAGCTTTCTACTCTATGTCCTTAAGTAACAGATTTCAGAAGGGCTGGCCTTCCTCATTTTCAGTCTATACATTATAAAAGGGGGGAAGCACTTACTTCAAGCCTGAGTTACTAGTGGCCTTGGGATGGCTTTGGGGCTTGGGGCAAGTGGACCAATCATAGCCAGTGAGATATAAAAGACTACTGGAGGATTATATGATGTGGTAGGTCATGTAGGAGACTATGTATCTCTTAGTCCACACGTAAGGAATAGCTATCTTGTTTCAACTCACCATACTGCTACCTATTAGATTTGTGACTTTGGACACTATTTAACTTTTCCCCACCTTGGTTCTGTTACTTCTAGAACAACAGTGGTCCAAGATTACTTCTCACAGAGAAGATATGGAGAATGATTGAGTTGCTATTGGTCAATTGTATAGTAAGTAGCAAGTTAAAAATGTGCTTAAATATTGGTTACTATAAACAAACCTTAAGGTTTCTATTAGAGAAATTTCTCACACTATGGTATCTGTAGTGCAAAAAATATATAGTCTGGAGCTGTCAGAGACATCTGGGTCTGTGATGGGTCTTAAGTGTCTTAAAATAGAGAAAGGAAGAGTCCTATAGAGCATGAAAACTATTATTGGTGCTGTCATCTAACATTTAGATCAAGTTGTGCCCAAGGCAAGGTCTTTCCCATGTCACATAAGTGTGTGTGTGTGTGTGTGTGTACATAGAGAATGTATACACACTTTAGTCTTCTGAGTTATTCTAATTTTATTGAAAAAGTTGAACAGAACAAAGGACACTGTCCCAGTCTTTTCCCTCACATTGAAAACATTCTTGTGTTTTCAAAGTCAGAAAGGTAACAATGTGGGAAATGGATTTGTTTGAAGGGGGGAGCTTGTTGGGGACAAGAGTGAGATGAGAGATTATAGTACAAGTAATTAGAATGAATGACATAGATGCGTGAAATTATCCAAGAACAAATTTAATTTAGCAAAATAAGTGGAAAAAAATCTCAAAATGGGAAGAAAGAAAACAATCCTCTCCCACACGAAATTTTATAAAATGCATGGTACACTTGTTGCCAGAGAAATAGACTCTGAAATATCATTATCACAAAAAGCTATAGTTTATTCTAGAGAACACTCTTGTCATATATCTATGGGTTTGTACAAAATTGCAATGATGTATACTCACCATTATAGAATCATAAAGAAATCGACAACCCTCAAACTCCTTCGCAACCCTGACTTTTCTTCCTCTCAAATCCCCTTGTGAAAACTAATCTGGTTACTCTCTTCATAGTTTGCCTTTTCAGAATGTCATAGTCAGAATGATGCAATGTGTGACCTTTACACTTTATAGGTCATCCTCTTTAGCTTGGTTATTTTCATTCATGTTTCCTTCATGGTTTTTCACAGCTCGTATCTCATTTTCTCTAAGCAACGTTTCATGTTCTGGATGTAGCATATTTTATTTATCCATTCACCTATGGAAGGGTACCTTGCTTGCTTCCCAATTAAGATAAACGTCATTGAAGCTGATGTGAGCATCACTGGGGAGGTTTCTGGATAGACATAACATTCTGCATCATTCAAAACAATACCACTTCTGCTGGATTTTATGCAAAGAGGAGGCTCTGCTCTGTAACAGGCTGCCTTACTTCCAAAGGGGGCTGCTCCAATTTGTGTTGCTACCATGGCTGACTTGGCAGTATTCTAACTCTTAACCAGCGTAATCTGTTCTCGGTTTTCAGGATTTAGGCCATTCTATTAGGATTTAGTAGCATCTAGTTGTTTTAGTCCACATTTCACTGTCATAAGTCGGGGAAAACCTTTTCATGCACTTACTTTGATCTATACATCTTTTCTAATGAGCATGCTTTCATTTTTTAAAAATTAAGATAGTTGGCTTTGCATTCTCTGCAAATGGCCCTTCCAAAAGAAAGTCTCTGCTGCTTCTCTCTGTGAAGGAAGGTCTGAAGATTCCATGCTGGCTATGCAGAGCTGACTATACTAAGAGTTTCTTCACTCTTCCATCCCTCCATTTCAAGCAACTGCGAGCTAACACAGGTGAATTGCATGCTTTGAATGAAACACAGCACAGCCTGGGGCTTCATTCTTGAAGTCTAGAATAACAATATAGCATAATATCTAAAATTTCTGCATGAATTGGTAGGCATGAAGAACACATACTGATGAGCTAGAAAGGTGGAAACTACAAGTAATTGCTCAACTCTGGGACTAGGTGCTCATTAGTAAGGCATAAAGACCTGCAGGAGGTATACAAACATTCATCAGAGAATGAAGAGAAAAAGAGGCAGCTGGGCTACCGTGAGCCAATTCAGGGATCGTGGTGCCAGTAGGACAGATGTGGGCCCATGTGCATTAATTTGCCCAGATACCCAGAGCTTTGCTAAAATCCCATTACTGGTCTGCAAAAATCATTCTCATCTCCTTCTATCTGTCTGAACTACAAATGGTTGTGTTATCTGTCCCTGAATTCATTTTAAAAGTCTCATTTCTCATTTATTTGCTTATGCAATTTCTTTGACCAAAGAATGTTCATATGTATGCATACACACACACTCCATGACTTAGGTTTCCAAATCGCTTCAAATCTTTTAAGAAGTATGTCTGCACTTTATTGGTGCAATGATATACTGCTAGTGAGTTAAAGCCTCTGCCAACACCACATTCTACAGTCCTCAAAATAAAAAGAAAGAAAGAAAAAAAAAAGAAAGGAAAACAAAGAAAAGAAATAGTCATGGTGTGGACTTGTTCTTTTTATTCAAATAGGTAGAGGTTATATTGTTTGAGTAGTAGCATACTTTAACATAGAATTTACTAACTTCCATGATATTCATGCTCTGTATAAATAATATTACATTCACATCCACCATTACCATCAAATAAATGAACTCGAAACTGATTAAAGATTTGCTGTCATACACCATTATGTAGAATTTCTACCTTAAAGATACATACTATTACTAGAGATGGCACAAAGAACGTGAGTAATTGCAAAGTATCATAAAGCAATTATCATGAATAAAAACTGGGCGTTACCCTTGTTTTTTGTATGATACCTTTACTTATTAGATGGTATTACTTAAGTTTTTATACTGTCCATATTTTTCAACAAACTATCAAAATTCTTAGAAATTCATAATTTGATTTTATCACTTACACAAATCTAGTATAGCCCACCACAGTCCCTTCTTCACCTACTGATGTGGGGTGTCCTTCTGTATATGTATTGCTTCTATTGGCTAATGAATAAAGCTGCTCTGGTCTATGACAAGGCAGAATATAGCCAGGCTGGAAGATGCGTGGAAGAGAGAGAGGGAGAAGGAGAGAGAGAGAGAGAGAGAGAGAGAGAGAGAGAGAGGAGAGGAAGCAGAGTCAAAGATACATCATGTAGCTGCCAAAGGAGAAGAACATGCCAGAAATTTGCCAGTAGGCAATAGTCTCAAGGTGATAGACAGATTAATAGAAATGGGTTAGTTCAAGATATAAGAGCTATCTAGAAACACGCTAAAGCGATTGGACAAATAGTATGGTAGTTAATATAGTTTCTGTGTTATTTTTGTGTCAGGGTGCCTGGGAATGAACGAGCAGTCTCAGCCAACAATATACACTCTCTTTTCTTTTAGAACTATAGAAAACAATGTAAACAAAGAATTACATAATAAATAGAACTTGTTTAAATATCAAGCTCAATAGCTAATGGTCAAATATGAAAAAAAACAAAGCAGGGTTAAAGAGCATTGTTTGTTGTTAGAAAGTAGGAGACAATTTTAGGTAATAAAAAAACAAAAAATCCACTTAGAGAAATGAATGTTTTTCAGAAATAAAGTGAGACAGAAAAGACATGAAAAGTTCTAAAGTATATTCCAATGGAAGTATATTCCAACTTTCTTAACACAAAGTCCCTAAGGGAGAGGTTAGCTTTCTGTATCCAAAGAGCAGTGAGATGTCCAGTACATCTGGAATGATGTTCACAGTTGGAGGATGCTAGGAAGGATAACTGCATATAACATAAAAGTCTGGGTCATACAAAGTCTTGTGAGCCTTCATGTTAACATGTTATTTTAATTCAAATAGGTTAGGCCTTAGGAGGTGTTGTTTGAGAAATACCATGATTTAATGTAATTTTTAAAATATTACTTAATCCCAACTACTGCTTGAAGAACAAATTACACTCATGCAGTAATGGCAGAGATAAAGGCTTTGCAAGGGGAAGTGAACGAAAAAGAAATAAATGATGATTGCAATTTGCAGCCAAGTATAAAGAATACAGAAACAGGTAGTAAAAATTCAGTGATTAACAAAAGCAGCCATGGATAGCATGCAGACAAATGGGTGTGGTTATGTTCACATAAAAATGTGCTTACAAAAGTACCTGCAAGGCAGAATGGATTCACGAGGCAGAGTAGGCACCAACCTTCCACTCTAGAGCTCCATACACAGTAGAAATGCAATATGGGTCACAAATGTAATTTTAATACTTTTAGCAACTATATTACTTAAAATAAAAAAGAAGAGAAACATTTTAATTATATTCAACCCATTTCTAAAATATGATTATTATTATTAAGTTGTTAGGTCTTGACAAGTTTCTTCTAGTATGTGGAAGAGAATGGGTTTTTAGATATTCTGTGATACTCATTTATCTTTATGCTTTATGCAGATTTCAGCTTGGTTAATTAATCCTGTAGTAGTAGGAATGGCGGGCTATGTTCCGCCATCCAGTCGCCCGCACGGCTAGCTTTACCCGAAATAATTACACGGAAACTGTATTCTTTTAAACACCACTTGGCCCATTATATCTAGCCTTTTCTCGGCTAACTCTTGCACCTGGACTAGCCCATTTCTTATAATCTGTGTAGCCCACGAGCTGGCTTACCAGGAATGATCTTAACCTGTGTCTGTCTGGAGTGGGAGAATCATGGCGACTACCTGACTCAGCTTCTTTCTCTCAGCATTCTGTTCTGTTTACTCCACCCACCTATGTTTTAACCTATGAGGGCCAGAGCAGTTTCTTTATTGCTTAACCAATAAAATCAACAGATTGATATATGACACTCCCCCATCATAATCCCACTAAAAAGTCTTTATTGATTTCACTCAATATGTTCCTATATCCAGAATACCTTTAAAAAAGAATTTTAGACATGATATAGTGCACATACTATTCCAAAATTTCAGTCTGTGAGAATAAAACTTTGTCAGAATGAACACAACACAAAGATCTTTGATACTTTTAGACCCTACAGCGTAGCAGGTATTGGCTGGTGAGATACTGTTATCTCTGATATTGGTACAGTATTCTCCTTCTCCGGGGTCTCACTGGAAAACGGCTGATACACAAGAGCTGGAATCCTGCTTTGATGGTACATGTAAGTAATTTACACAGCTACATCCTTCTCTTCTTTATATGAATACAGATTGGGCAACCATCTTTCTATTGAATTGCTGTCAGGGAAGGATTTGCACAAGGTCAACATAACAAGCCTCTCCAGCAGGTACCGCAATGGACTTTAATACATTCAGAGGATTTATGTCAAATTCCAAGCACTAAAGATTGAGCTGATAATCGTAGTTATTTGGCAAAGGCATTAGCATTTCTGTCTGTGGAGATTTCAATGCCCTATTAACTATTCTGAATCATTTACCCAGTGAGGCAAAGTAGCAGGTTGAGTGAGTTGAGTCAGAGATTTCTCACTGCCCACCACAGGCAATACCATAGAAATCTCTGGTGTTGTCTGCAAGGGGAAATCAACCAGGATAGCAGACAGCTTTGACTCCTAATGAATATGAATGCACAAACATGAGCATTTCAAAACGCAACTCTGGGAGCATAGAGAGAAGGAACCTGCTTTGAAGTGTGATCCCACTGTGAAGACCCCGTGAGTGATTTTCTTGAAAAAGACGGAATGATTTCCAGCACTTCTAAAGAACAGACACTCTGGCCTGTAGCCAGGCTGCTTCTCAACAGCCCCTGGCAGTGTGGGCCTCTCTATAAAGGTGGCTCTCTCTTTAAAAAACAAAGTGCTGTAAAAGGAGGACCATAGTGTTGACAATAGCTCAGAAGGAATCATGGAGGAAAATAAAAAGGAGAACAGATATGTCGATTTGTCGAGAAAGACAGCAAATTTAACTAGTTTTAACATAAATACAAAGTTCTTGCAAGTATCTGAGATGAAAATTGATTTTTTTCTCTGTATGCTGACTCTGAACGTGTTTTGGGAGTGTCTAATGTTGGGGCAAATGTTTCATTCCATCTACAGAATTCGAGGAGAAAAATAGAGGTAGTTACAAAAGTAGTGATTTTGTGGCTTATACATGACTCCTAAAAAGTGTTTCGCTCTTCCATCAATGGTGACAAATAGTCATCAATTACACTAAGAAAGGATGATGGTGTTTGAAACTGGCACATACTGGAAGGTGAATCAGGTCTAAGTGGCCACTAGAGTGGTCCTGGTATAGCACTATTTTGTCTCCATCGACATTTTCAGTCTTTAAGATTCTAAATTCCAGATACAGGAAAATGAAAACAATTGACTGTGTCTTTCACATTCCAAACCATGCAGCACACTGCAATTCACAAAGCCGATCCTCTCAAGCAAATTGAAGACAAAATTATTAGTGTGCTAAATTCCTTGGAAACTGTCAACATTTCTGATGCAATTTTTTAATGATTGAACCTTGATTAAGGCTGTTTATTTTTCTCCCTGTGATCGGTCTTAACTCCAAATGTACTTCTGACATCAGTTTTGCTCATGAGCAAGCATTTCTATGCCTGTGGGTTTCTATTTCTGTGGGTTTGAAAGGGTAGAAGCAATTTACCCTTGTGTGAGCAGGAAGGACTGCTCTTCCATGAAGTGAACTTGTCTTGGAGGTGACACCCAGCCTACATCTAGCTTCCTTTTGTAAACTGAAAGGCTACTATAGAAAGTACAAATTTCAGAATCATGCCCACACTCGCCCATGGCCAATCTCTTAGACCTTACTTAGGTCACATAGACTGCGCACTGGCACAGAATGGTGAGTTCCCCCAGAACCTTGCT